GGCCGCCGCCCCAAGGTTGGGAGCGGCGGAGGCGGCGGGGCTGCGGGTGGGGGTGGTGGTGGAGTCGGGTCGTCCGGTGCCGGTGCGGACGTGGGGACCCTGCCCGGTCCAGCTGCCCCGCTGCCTCCACAGTCGCAGCAGCAGCAGCAGCAGCAGTCGCCGCAGCCGCAGCCTCCGCAGCAGCCGCAGCAGCCGCCGCAGACGAGGCAGGCGAGTGCTCTCCCGCCTGGGTGGCCTGGAGCTGGTGGTGGTCGTGCGCGTGGTGGTGCGCCGGGTGGTGGTTCTGGAGGCGGGCGCTGTCAGTACCAGATCCAGACCGGTCCTCGCCGCGGCTTCGTTTGTGGTAAGATCGGTCATTCCACTCCTCGCTGTTTTCGTCGTCTAGACGACCTGTTCCGTCAGCGCTTTGGCCCGGCGCCCGACCTCCCGGACTGGCATAGCTTGCTTAGGCGTAGCATTCAGATTTTTGACTTGGACATGGATGCCATTGTAGCAGCCTTGCATGTGATGTATGCTGATGACTCTAGTGTGCTTCCCTCTTATTACCCCGTGTTGCCTAGCGTAGCTGTGCCTAGCGTAGACTCCCCTGCTGCGTCAGGCGTAGGATCTCCTGCTTTGCTTAGCCTCGGTGCTTCCACCGCTTCACTGCCGCCTCGCGCGACTGCTGCGCTTTCCTTCACCTTGGACTCTGGCGCCTCCCGGTGTTTCTTCCGCGACTCCACGACGCTGACGCCGCTGCCTGTTCCCGCTGCAGTTACTCTTGCTGACCCCTCCGGTGGTCCCGTCGTTGCCCGCAGTTCCACCTCCCTTCCCTGTCCGGCGGTTCCTTCAGGTTCGCTCACCGGTCTGCATATCCCCTCGTTCTCCAGGAACCTAGTTGGTGTCGGCTGCCTCCAGGACCTTGGCGTCACCACTACGTTCCCTGGTCACGAGCGGTATGCTGTCTGTACCGAGGCCGCCACTGGTGCCCCCCTTACCACTTTCCCCCGGGACCCGGTGTCCGGCCTGTTCACACTTGACACCGCGACTTCCCCGGCTGGGTCTTCCCCCCAGGTCGCTGCGTCCACCCAGGTTGCTGCTGCGTGCTCCTGTCGGTCCCTCACTCACCCGACTCTCCTTTGGCACCACCGCCTTGGTCACCCTGCACTCTCGCGTCTGCGTCACATGTCCCAGCACGGTCTCGTCCTTGGTCTCCCCGGTTCGTTCCCCGAGTTTCCCTCCTCCCCCGCCCCCCCGTGCACGCCTTGTGTCGAGGGCAGGCTCCGCCGTGCCCCACACTCCTCCTCTTTTCCCCCTACCACCGCACCACTGCAGACTCTGCACATGGACGTCTGGGGCCCAGCCCCGGTCCATGGGCCGCGTCGCGAGCGCTTCTTCCTAGTGCTTGTCGACGACTACACTCGTTACACCACCGTCTTTCCCCTGGAGCGGAAGGCCGACGTGCCTGACGTTCTCATCCCTGGCTTGTCTCTGCTCGTGTCCACCGCGGTCTCCCTGCCTTGCGCCTCCACTCCGACCGGGGTGGCGAGTTTGCCTCAGGTGTCCTTGGTCGCTTCTGTCGTGCGTAGGGCATCACCCAGACGTTTACCCTGCCGGACTCCCCGCAGCAGAATGGGGTCGCTGAGCGACGCATCAGTTTGGTCATGGAGGTGGCTCGCACCTCCATGATCCACGCCGGTGCACCCCATTTTCTGTGGCCGTTCGCCGTGCGCTACGCCGCTCACCAGCTTAACCTGTGGCCGCACCCCCAGCGGCCGCAGGTTTCGCCGACCCCTCTGTGGACCGGGTCCCCTGGTGACGCGTCTGCGTTCCACGTCTGGGGCTGCCTTGCTCAAGTTCGTGCCTCTGGCACGGACAAGCTCACTGCCCGCACCCTCCCCTGCGTCTTCCTCGGTTTCCCCCTTGACGCGTCCGACTGGCACTTCTACCACCCGCCGTCTCACCGCTTCTTTCACTCTCGCGACGTCACCTTTGACGAGTCCGTCTCCTTCTACCGCCGCTTCCCCCACCGTGGTCCCCCGGTTACTCCCCCCCTGTTCCTGGTCCCTCCTTCCCCGGTGGTCCCTGCCCCCCCCCCCCCCGCCTCCCCGTCCGGCCCCTCTGATGTGTCTCACGTCACCCCCCTCCCGTCGGTCGTCCCGGTCGACGAGTCTTCTGACTCTGGTAGTCCTCCGGCGCAGTCCTCGCCGTCTGTCCCTCCACCGGTGTCTCCTCCTCCACCGCCTCCGCAGCCGCCGTCGCCGCAGCTGCTGCAGCCGTCGTCTCCACCGCCGCCGCCGTTGCAGCCGTCGTCTCCGCCGCCGCCGCCGTCGCGGCCGTCGCTGCAGCCGCCGCCGCCGCCGTCGTCGCTGCCGCTGTTTGTGGACTCTGGGGGTGCTGGCGTTGAGGTGGGTACTAGTCCCGGGGCTCCTGTCGTGGCTTGTCCTGGCGGGCCTGGGGGTGGTACCGGGGCTGGCGGGGTTTCGGGCTCTGGGGGTGTCCCTTCTGGGGGTGCCGGTGTGGAGGGTTCGGGAGGTAGCCGTCGCGCAGCTTGTGGCCCTGGTGTTGGTATTGTGTCGCCGCAGCAGCAGTCCCCGCCGGTGTCCGCCCTCCGTCTGCTCGGCCTTCCGTTCCCTGACCCTGCGCCTGTTCCTCTCCTGCCGTCTCCTCCTCTTCCCGTCTACGGCCCCGTGTTCCCTCCGCCGGACTCGTCCCCGGCTCGTTTTCCCCCTCGTTCCCCACCCGTGTCCCCTCCTCTGTCTCCTGACCCGACGCCCCCCTCTCACGTCTGGTCTCGCCGCCCCTCCCGTGCTCGTCCTGTCTCCCCCGTCCCGCGCTCTCACCCTATGTTGCTCCGGTTCCACGCGTCTCGTCCTCCCCTCCTCCCGTCTCCTCCTCCGTCCTCTCTTGTCGTTGCGTCTCCTCCTCTGTCTGACTACTTTCGTGCCGCTCGTCCTCTTGTTCCTCGGGTCCTTGCCTCTCTGGTTACAGACCCGTCTGTTCCCGTGTCGAGTCTTGACGCCCTTGTCGCTGCGGTCGCTGACTTTGCCTCTACCCGCCGCCTTGACTACGCCACCGCTCTTGTCTCTGACCCTGCCTGTCCTCCGTCTGTCGGGGGTGCTCCTGCCCTCGGCAGTGACGTCCTGGAGGACCGCCAGTTTGAGCTTGCTTTCCTGTCCGAGGGTGCTCCCCATCTCTGTTCCATGCTGCTAGTCCCTGAGGGTGACCCAGACGCTTTCGACATCCCGACCCCTCGTACTTACGCTGAGGCGGTTTCGGGACCCTGGGCCTCTCAGTGGATAGCTGCCATGGAACAGGAGATGGCATCTTGGAGATCCACCGGCACCTTCGTCGACGCAGTTCCCCCACCTGGGGTGAACGTGGTCGATGGCCGTTGGCTCTTCAAGGTGAAGCGCCCTCCTGGAGAGCCGCCTGTGTTCAAGGCGCGCTACGTGGCTAGAGGCTTCAGTCAGCGTGAGGGGGTGGACTTCTTTCAGACTTTCGCTCCTACGCCGAAGATGACTACTCTTCGGGTTCTGTTACACGTAGTGGCTCAGCGTGACTACGAGCTCCACTCCCTCGACTTCTCCACTGCCTTCCTTCAGGGCAGCCTTCACGAGCAGGTCTACCTGCGTCGTCCTCAGGGCTTTACTGGCACTTTCCCCCCTGGGACCCAGTGGCTTCTGCGGCGCCCAGTCTACGGCCTGCGCCAGGTGCCTCGTGAGTGGCACGACACGCTGCGTGCTACCCTTGCTGACCTGCAGTTCTTTCCGTCCTCTGCAGACCCCTCGCTCTTCGTTCGTGCTGGCCTGACTCCGTTCTACATCCTTGTCTACGTAGACGACCTGGTCTTTGCCACAGCTGACAGGGACGCACTGGCCTCCGTGAAGGCAGAGCTGCTGAAGAGACACACCTGCACTGACCTTGGAGAGCTGCGCCGTTACCTTGGCTTGCAGATCTCCAGGGACAGAGCCGCGCGCACCATCACCCTGACTCAGTCACACTTGGTGTGCCAGGTCCTTCAGAGGTTCGGCCTTCAGTTCTCCTCCGCACAGCCCACCCCTCTTCCTCTGGACCACAGACTCTCCGCTCCAGTTCCTGAGGAGTCGGTAGATCCCAGTGGTCCTTACGCTGAGCTAGTGGGTTGCCTCATGTACCTGATGACTTGCACTCGCCCAGATCTCGCATACCCTCTCAGCATCCTGGCTCGTTTCGTGGCCACAGGCAGACACCGACCTCAGCACTGGTCTGCCGCTAAGAGGGTTTTGCGTTATCTTGCAAGTACATCGGGCATGGGGTTAGTGCTAGGCGGACGCAGGCCAGTGGTCCTTACTAGACACACAGACGCTTCTTGGGCAGACGACGCCGAGACGCTCAGGTCTTCCCAGGGCTACTTCTTTAGCCTTGGCTCAGGTGCTGTCTCGTGGAGAGCTACCCGCTCCTCGTCTGTTGCCCAGTCTAGCTGTGAGGCTGAGATCTACGCCGGTGCCATGGCGGCACAGGAGCTCCACTGGCTGACCTTCTTGCTCACTGACTTAGGTGAGCGGCCTAGCTCTGCCCCGGTCTTGTACGCTGACAACAGGGCCATGATCCTCCTGTGTCAGGAGCCTCGACTCGAGGGTAGAGCGAAGCACATCCAGCTGCGGTACTTCCTCCTGCGCGAGCTACAGCAGCGTCGCCAGGCTCGCGTAGTACACTTGGCCTCCGGTGCCAACACAGCTGATATCTTTACGAAGGCGCTTGCGCCTAAAGATCATCAGCGGCACTGTGTACAGCTTGGTCTGGTTCCTGTAGTCGCTCACTTACTCGGGCCTTGACTTTGTACTGTCCTATATATATGTGTACACTCAGACTGGACTTGTGTCCTCTCACAGTGGTTGGACTAGTAGTGCCGCCCTGTACTTGTTCTTGTCTTGTCTGTACTCCTTCTGACTGGTCTTTTAGACCCTTGTCTCAGAGGCTGGACTAGTAGTGCCGCCCTGAGCTGCTTATCTAGGACATTCCCCTATGCAGTCCAGGGGGTGTGTCAAACATGTTTATTGATCATGTTTGTATAGACTGTATAGGGTAACCTCCTAGAGGGTACAACATTTAGGTATATGTGCATGTACTCTCTAACTCTATCAATCATTAAATTCTAGCTTTGAGACGGAGAACTCCCGAAGGTCGAACTAGAAGGTCTGGAGAAGCCGAGGCAGTTCTCTCAGAAAGGTCTGGAACAGTCCCGAGGCTTCGTGTGTGTTCGAGCGTACGCGATAGCAGTACCGCTCGGTAAGGAATGGAAAATTCCTTACACCAACCCCCCCCCCCCCCCCCCCCCCCCCCCCCCCCTTAGCGAAGGTGATCTATATCAGCCACGTGTCGTCCTTGACCGTCGATACGAATCCGATGGCTCAAGATCTTCGAAGGCTCAATGGTCGTCTCGGCTGGTGGCCGTACATCGGGGACCAATCGCTGTCGAGCGATGTCCGACGTGTCAGGAACGAAGGATCGCAACAGGCTCACGTGGAACTTGTTGTAAATACGCCAGTCATCAGGTAGGCGCAACTGGGCGGTCACCGGCGTCACCATCTTCATGATCTTAAATGGGCCACAGAAACGTGGTCGTAATTTTGTCGGTAGTGGCAGTCGTAAATTCTTGGTGTCCAAAAGGACTAGTTGCCCTGTTGTCATTGTGATATCCCGTCGATGTAGATCCGCATACCGTCGGGTAGTTGCGTTCGCCTTGCGAATAAGTTCGACAGCTTTGTCTCGGGCAGTCTGTAATTCTTCGACGAACTGCTGCGATCGTGGTACTTGACTCTCAACGTTGATGGAGACTGGTACTGTAGGGTCTATCCCGTAATTGAGATAAAACGGGGAGTGATTAGTCGTAGCCGAGGGCGCGTTGTTGTAGGAAAATTCCAACATAAGTAGCACGTCCTCCCATTTTTTCCGGTCGGGGCAGTTTGTCCGAATCAGCTGTTCCATCGTTTGATTTGTCCTTTCCGTCTGGCCGTCCGTTTGGGGATGATAAGCGGATGAAAACTGTAGACGCGTGCCGTCCCGAATCCACGTGTCCTGCCATAATTTTGACGTGAACTTCGGATCTCGATCGCTGATGATTGCTGCTGGTATCCCGTGTAGGTGAACGACGGTCGAGATGAACAGGCGCGCGGTTTCTTCGGCTGTGATGGTTGTACGACATGGTGCGAAATGCGTCATTTTCGTCAATCGGTCGACGACAACCAAAACTGCGTCGTTTCCGCTGGGTCTGGCCGGTAGTCCCGTAACGAAATCCATCGTTACGTGTTGCCATGGGCGTTGAGGTGGCTCGAGGGGCTGCAACAGTCCGGTAGGTCGCTGGTGTGATGACTTCATTCGCTGGCAGATCGGACACGCGGCCACGTATCGCTGCACGTCCGTCACCATATCTGGCCAGTAATAAAACCGCCGCAACGCCTTCAGAGTTTTATCAACTCCGAAATGTCCCGATAAATTCGAATCGTGGACTTCTTGAATTAGTAGTTCGCGAAGTAGACGATAACTTGGGACCCAAATTCGATCTGTTCCACTTCGTAGGTAATAGACGCCTTTCCGTGTAGTGATAGGGAGATGGCCGTCGTTTACGAAGAAGGGGTCAGTCGAATATCAGTGGGTAAATAGTCCACTCAGTAGCGGGTTGCTCTGGGTGACTAGTACTGCCGCGGGTTGGGTAGATGGTCTGGAAAGGGCGTCGGCAATATTGTTGGCGCCTTTTTTATACGTGATCTTGTACGTGAAGTTGGACTCCAGATAGTCTAGCCAGCGTATCTGCTGCGGGTTGAGATTCGGCTGCGCTCTCAGGTACTGTAGAGATTTGTGATCAGTTCGCACCGTCACGTCTGCTCCAGTTAGGTAGCACCTCCAGATTTTGAACGCGTGGACGATCGCCAGCATCTCCTTGTCGTGTACCGGGTAATTGCGCTCAGCAGATTGCATTTTCCGAGACTCGTACGCGATTGGTTGAAGACCATTGCCGAAATCTTGCATGAGCACTGCTCCGATGGGGATGTCACTTGCGTCGGTGATGACTTCGAAGGGCCGTTCCGGGTCAGCGATGCGAAGTACCGGTGGCGACATTAAAAGATTTTTTAATGCCTCGAACGCAGCTTGCTGCTTCTCCCCCCACTCGTAAAAAGTCCCCTTCTGCAGTAGGTCGGTTAGAGGTCCAGTTATCCCCGCCATGTTGGGTATAAACCGCCGCACGTATTTCACGAAACCCAGAAATGATTGCAACTGCTGCAGATTTGTTGGTGGTTTCCATTCCTGAATAGCCCAGAGTTTTTTCGGGTCTATCCGAATCCCCTCCGTGGAGATCACGTGCCCCGGGAACTCCAGTTCTTGTTTTAAAAACTAGCACTTGGAGCCCTTGGTGATGAGACGATGCTGCTGCAACCGCTGAAAAACCGCTTCCAAATCCTTTAAATGTTGCTCCTGGGTCTTGCTGTAAATCAGGATGTCGTCCAGGTAAATTATCACGCATTTGTCGAGTAGATCGCGGAGCACCCCGTTCATGGTGAGTTGGAATGTCGAGGGGGCGTTCGTTAATCCAAACGGCATCACCGTGTATTCGTAACTCCTGTAGCGAGTACGAAACGCGGTCTTGTGGCAGTCGTCGGCGAACACCCGAATTTGATGATAACCGCCGCGAAGGTCGATCTTCGAAAAGTAGCGAGCTCCGCGAAGGTTGTCGATCAGTTCGTCCGTGCGTGGGATTGGGTTGCGCGATTTTATCGTTACCCGATTAAGGGCACGATAGTCCGTACACATGCGAAGTCCGCCGTCCTTTTTTGGCGTGAACAGGATCGGTGTTGCGAACGGTGACGTGCTCGGCCGAATGAAACCTTTCGTCAGCAGGTAGTCCAGGTGGTTTCGTAACTCCTGTAGCTCCGGCTGAGTCAGGCGCCATTGCGTGCGTACAGTAGGCTGCGCGCCGGGCTCCAACTCGATTTTGTGGTCCTGGGGTCGTTCGGGTGGCAGTCCACTTGGCAAGTCGTCCGGGAAAATCTCTGGATATTCCCGAATGATTTTCGCCAAGTCATCCGGGACCGAAGCGCAGAGTTTGTTGATGTCGGTCGCCTCATTCTGCTCCGTCGATTCGGTTAGGTGGACGGCGTATAAATCCGCTCCATTCTTGACTGCTCGTTTGAGGCACACCGCGTTGACTCGTGTCGATGTTGTCTCTGCTTCCGGCCACGTGGGTAATTTTTGCCAGCCTTTGTCGCACTTCACTGCGCACTCGCCTGTTGTCCAATCGATCTATGGATTGAATCGTCGCAGCCAATCGCGTCCCAATAGCACGTCGTAGCCGTCGAGCGTTGTCGCCAGCATCGGCGCGCTGAAACCAAAATCTTCGCCACACTTCATTCGAACAACGGGTACTTTGTCTCGTATCGCCAGCAGGGTGCCGTCCACCAATCGCGCGTCGATTTCGGGCAGACACCTCTCTAGCGTCACGTGTAGTCGTCGTGCTGTCTCTCAATTTATCAGGCTGTGACTCGCACCTCCATCGATGAATATTTTTATTTTTCTCCCATTGAGTCGTCCCTCCGCTAGTACAGGGTGGTCCACTTGGTCATCCCCCTGATTCAGCCGGGAGCGGTTGATAGCATGTATCGGAACCACTACTCGGTGGAGATGGTGTTTTTCAGGCGATGAGGCAGGGTCAGTAGGGGGCCCGACCGCTACTGACGCTTGGCGTTTCCCGACCTGTCCTCGTCGTTCTTCTTTATCTGCTTCTTTCGGGGGCAATCGTGAGATTGGTGACCTGGCTGGTGGCAGTTGAAACATTGTCCCTTGCGAAAATCGTCCATGTGCTCCTTCGCCACTACGCCGTGAATCGTGGGCCGTGGATTCTGGCCACGAAAACGATTTCCCTCCCGGGAACCCGCTCTCGCATACGTCCGATGCGCGTCGAAGTTGTCTGCGATCCGAACGGCTTCGTGAAACGTCGCCGGCAGTCGCAGGCGGACCTCGCATTTAATGTCCTGCTTCAAACCCGAAATGAATCGAGCTTTCTTTTCGGAGTCATGCATGTCGGTGATTTGATCGCATAACGCCATGAAGACCGACGCGTAATCCTGGACAGAACTCCACTGGCGCCAGTTGTCCAGCTTCGTGCGTGCGTTGTCCGAGGCGGATATTGGCTCGAAACGTTCACGCAGAGCTGTACCCCACGCCTTCCACGTGCGAATCTTGGTCGATCCAAAAATCGCGGTTGACCCTTGGGCAGCAGACCCAAAGTTTCCGAAAAACCCCTGTGTGTCGCCTGCCAAAAACTCCCCCTCCTGTAGAGTATATCGCCACCAATCTAGCGCAGGTCCCCGCAGTAGTGATACAGCCAGTCGAATTTTTAACTCGTCAGCAGTGATCCCAGCGGCATTAAAATAAAGTTCCGTCGAAAATAACCAGCCCGTAACAGTAGTATTCTTATCTGTGGGATTGAACGGGGGCGGCATTGTCGGTTTGATCGTCGCTGTCGTCACGATCAGCATAAACGCTGGTGCGGCTACAGTAGCGGCTGCTGCTGTCGCTGCTGCTGCTGCTGCTGCTGCTGCTGCTGCTTCGGCTGCTGCTCGTGCTGCCACGTCAGCTGCTGCGGCGGCTTCACTGTCCTTGCGCTCCTGTGACACCTGACGTGCGATTTCGTCCAAGACGGTTTCGACACGTCCGGTGCTGGCGACTTCCTCTTGGGCGGCAGATTTCTGACGCGAATCCTCTCGCGCCTGGCGTAACTCAGCAGCTTCCGCACGAAGTCGCTTGTTGTCCTCCAGTACTGTAGCCATGCGTGTGTTCATGCCCTTATTGTGCATGAACTGTTAAAGTGAGAACTGAATGAATAGACTAGAAGTGGAAACCTAGAACAAATACTAGTTGGTTGTACTCACTAGAAGCATACCTCAGTCTAGCCTAAAACTTCTACATAGCTAATATGTATAAGTTGACACACCCCCTAGGCTAGACAAGGGGTGAAGCTAAGCAAGAAGCAAACAGTTCAGGGTGGCACTACTAGTCCAACCACTGAGGCAGGGGTCTGGAGACCAGTCAGCAAGAATACAAACAAAACTAAAGCAAGCCAGGGCGGCACTACTAGTCCAGCCACTGGAGGTAAGGCCACAAGGCCAGTTTGACAGGCATATATAATAGAGAGTACACAATCAAGATCCTAACAGGTGAGTAGCTACAAGAACAAGACCAAGCTGTACACAGTGCCGCTGATGATCTTTAGGCGCAAGCGCCTTAGTAAAGATATCAACTGTGTTGGCACCTGAGGCCAAGTGAACTACGCAGGCCTGGCGGCGCTGCTGTAGCTCGCGCAAGGAGGAAGTACCGTAGCTGGATATGCTTCGCTCTGCCCTCAAGCCGAGGCTCCTGACATAGGAGTATCATGGCCCTGTTGTCAGCGTACAGGACCGGGGCGAGCTAGGCCGCTCACCTAAGTCTGTGAGCAAGAAGGTCAGCCAGCGGAGCTCCTGTGCCGCCATGGCACCAGAGTAGATCTCAGCCTCACAGCTAGACTGAGCCACAGACGACGAGCGAGTGGATCTCCAAGAGATAGCACCCAAACCAAGGCTAAAACAGTAGCCCTGCGACGACCTGAGCGTCTCAGAGTCGTCTGCCCAAGAAGCGTCTGTGTGCCCAGTAAGGACCACTGGCCTGCGTCCTCCTAGCACTAACCCCATGCCCGATGTACTAGCAAGATAACGCAAAACCCTCTTAGCGGCAGACCAGTGCTGAGGTCGGTGTCTGCCTGTAGCCACAAAGCGAGCCAGGATGCTGTGAGGGTATGTGAGATCTGGGCGAGTGAAGTCATCAGGTACATGAGGCAACCCACCAGCTCTGCGTAGGGGCCACTGGGCTCTACGGGCTCCTCAGGAACGGGAGCGGAGAGCCCATGGTCTACAGGTAGAGGTGTGGGCTGTGCGGAGGAGAACTGAAGACCGAACCTCTGAAGGACCTGACGCACCAAGTGTGACTGTGTCAGAGTGATGGTGCGTGCTGCTCTGTCCCTACAGATCTGCAGGCCAAGATAGCGACGCAGCTCTCCAAGGTCAGTGCAGGTGTGTCTCTTCAGAAGCTCGGCCTTCACAGAGGCCAGTGCGTCCCTGTCAGCAGTAGCGAAGTCCAGATCGTCTGCGTAGACAAGGATGTAGAACGGAGTCTGGCCGGGACGCACAAACAGAGAGGGGTCTGCTAACGTGGCCCGCAGTGTGTCGTGCCACTCGCGAGGAGCCTGACGTAGGCCGTAACCGGGCGCCTGAGAAGCCACTGGGTCCCAGGGGGAAGGTGCCAGTGAAGCCATGTGGTCGGCGCAGGTAGACCTGCTCGTGTAGGCTGCCCTGAAGAAAGGCAGTAGAGAAGTCGAGGGAGTGAAGCTCGTAGTCGCGCTGTGCTGCTACGTGTAGCAGCGCCCGAAGAGTGGTCATCTTCGGGGTCGGGGCAAGGTCTGGAAGAAGTCAACCCCCTCTCGCTGACTGAATCCTCTAGCCACGCAGCGCGCCTTGAAGACAGGCGGCTCTCCAGGGGGGCGCTTCACCTTGAAGAGCCACCGACCATCGACTACGTTCACCCCAGGCGAGGGAACTGCGTCGACGTAAGTGCCGGTGGACCTCCAAGATGCCATCTCCTGCTCCATGGCAGCTATCCACTGAGAGCCCAAGGTCCCGAGGTGGCCTCAGCGTAGGTGCGAGGGGTCGGGATGTCGAAGGCGTCTGGGTCACCCTCAGGGACTAACAGCATGGAGCAGAGGTGGGGAGCAGCCTCGGAAAGGAAAGCCAGCTCGTACTGCCTGTCCTCTAGGACGTCACTGCCAAGGGCAGGAGCACCCCCGACGGACGGAGGATGGGCAGGGTCAGAGACCAGAGCGGTAGCGTAGTCAAGGCGGTAGGTAGAGGCGAAGTCAGCGACAGCACGACAAGCTGTCAAGGCGCGAGATAGGAACAGCAGGGTCGGTAACAAGAGAGGCAAGGACCCGAGGGACAAGGGACGAGCGGCACGGAGGTAGTCAGGAGAACGGAGGAGGTGCAACAGCAAGGGACGAGGGAGGAGGGGACGGGAGGAGGGGAGGACGAGACGAGCGGGAACGGAGCAACATAGGGTGGGTGGGCAGGACAGGAGAGACGGGACGAGCACGGGAGGAACGGCGAGCCCAAACGTGAGACGGAGGTGTAGGGTCAGGGGACAGCGGAGGGGACACAGGAGGGGAACGAGGAGGAAGACGGGCCGGAGACGAGTCCGGCGGCGGGACACAGGATCGTAGACAGGAAGGTCAGCAGGCGGTGGGGGAGACACTGGCGCGCGGTCCGGGGAGAGAAGGCCGAGCAGGCGGAGAGCGGAGACCGGCGGCGACGGCTGCGGCGGCTGCTGCGACAGCTGGGCCGGAACCCTCGGACCAGCAGAGGCAGGACGACCGTCAGCGGAACCCTCAACAGCAGCACCCCAGAACCAACACCCCCAGAGCAAGAACCCCCTCCAACTCCAGCGGCACCCCCGGGAGCCGCAGGACGAACACCCTCCTCAACGCCAGCACCCCAGAGCCAACGGCGGCAGCGGCGGCGCGGGCCGGCGGCTGCGGCGGCGGCGCCGGCTGCGGCGGTGGCGGTGACTGCGACTGCGACGACAGCGGCGGCGGCGCGACGGCGACTGCGGCAGGGAAGGCGGAGACACCGGGGAAGGGGACACGGCAGGGACGGGCCGGGGGGTACTACCAGAGTCAGCAGACTCCTCAACGGGGACAACCGACGTGAGGGGAGTGACGTGAGAGACACCAGACGGGGCAGGACGAGGCGGGAGAGGAGCAGGGGCTACCGGGGGAGAGGGAGCCAGGAACAGGGGCGGGGCAATCGGGAGACCTCGGTGAGGGAAGCGACGGTAGAAGGAGACAGACTCGTCAAAGGTGACGTCACGAGAGTGGAGGAAGCGGTGAGACGGCGGGTGGTAGAAAGCCAGTCAGACGAGTCAGGGAAAACCGAGGAAGACATAGGGGACAGTGCGGGCAGTGAGCTTGTCCGTGCCAGAGGCACGAACGTGAGCAAGGCAGCCCCAGACGTGGAACGCAGACGCGTCACCGGGGGACCGGTCCAAAGGAGGGTCGGCGAAACCTGCGGTCGCTGGGAGCGTGGCCACAAGTTAAGCTGGTGAGCAGCGTAGCGAACAGCGAACGGCCACAGAAAATGGGGGGCATCGGCATGAATCATGGAGGTACGAGCAACCTCCATGACCAAGCCGATGCGGCGCTCAGCAACCCCATTCTGCTGTGGCGAGTCCGGCAAGGTGTACGACTGGGTGATGCCCTCCGCACGACAGAACTGTCCAAGCCGACCAGAGGCGAACTCGCCGCCACGGTCAGAGTGGAGACACAACACGGGGAGACCGCGGTGAAGACGCGCAGCCACAACCCACGGGAGAAGAACGTCGGGCACGTCGGCCTTCCGCTCCAGGGGAAACACGTGGTGAGCGCGTGTAGTCGTCGACGAGCACAAGGAAGTAGCGCTCACCGCGCGGTCCGGGGACGGGGCAGGGCCCAAACGTCCAGGTGCAGGGTCTGAAGGGGGCAGTAGCAGGGCGCAGCGAGGAGGAGTGAGGAGCACGGCGGAGCCGACCCTCGACGCAAGGCGTGCACGGTGGCGCAGTCGAGGAGGAAGGGCAGGGAGCGACGCGGGGAGACCTAAGACAAGACCGTGCTGGGACATGTGATCGCAGACGCGGGAGAGCAGGGTGACCTAAGCGGTGGTGCCAGAGAAGGGACGGGTGAGTGAGGGACCGACACGAGCAAGCTGCAGCGACCTGGGAGGACGCACCAACCGGGGGGAAGCGGTGTCTAGGGTAAACAGACCGGACACCGGGTCCCGGGGAACGTCGCAAGGGGGGAACCTGAGACAACCCTCAGAACAGACAGCGAACCGCTCGTGCCCGGGGAACGTGGTGGTGACGCCGAGGTCCTGGAGACAGCCGACACCAACCAGGTTCCTCGAGAACGAGGGAACGTGGAGGCCTGTAAGGGAGCCCGAGGGAACTGCTGGACAGGGAAGGGACGTAGAATGCGAGCACGACAGGACCCGCAGAGGGGTCAGCGAGAGAGACAACAGCAGCAAGCGGCGTGAGCGTGGAACGGTCGCGGAAGAAGCAGGCAGAAGCACCGGAGTCGAGAGTGAAGGACAGCGACGCAGTGGCGGAGGCCGGGGACGGAGCCGGTGCAGCGACTAGACTAGGCAAGCTAGGCAGTCCTACGCCTACGCAGCAGGGGAGGCTAAGCTACACAATGGTGAACACACCTAAACTAGAGTACACAGGGTAATAAGATCCAGCAACACTAGAAGCGTCCAGAATACAAAGCATGCAAAGCAGCACCTATCTGATCCATGTCTAACTCAAAGATCGGCACGCCCTGGCGGAGCAGGCTGTGCAGTCGGGAGGTCCGGGGCCGGGGCCAAAGCGACGACGAAAGAGATCGTCGAGGCGGCGGAAACAGCGGCGGTTCGGGTGCGGGCGGCGGCACAGAGTGCCGCGAAGAGGCCCGGTCTGAAGCTGGTACTGGCAGGTGACAGCACCGGAGCCGCCGGTAGACGCCAAGCTGCGCGGGCCCCACCACGGCCACTACCTCCGGAGGTGCCGGGCCAGCCAGCGCGGGAGACGGGCACTGCTGCGCGACTGCTGCTGGGACGGCGTGCTGCTGGCGGCGGCTGCGGCTGGGGCTTGCTCCTGCTGCGGCTGGGGCTGCTGCTCCTGCCCACCAGTGGTAGTCCCCGCAGGCGGACTACCGTCACCCCACCACCACCACCACCACCACCTGCGCCACCACCCCTACCTCCCTGGCGACCACGGCCACCGCGGCGCGAGCGCTGCTGCGGGTGGACCGCAGCAGCCGTCTCGGTGAGAGGGGTCGCCGTGGCGACCGCAGCCGAAACGTCAGTGAACGTGCACTGGGAGGGGGCACAACCGTGAAAGATAGAGACTGCCGGCGCACCGTCGACTGAGCGATAGTGCGCTGGCGAGTCTCGATCTCGGTGAGGGTATCGACAAAGGCGGTGAGGGTGAGGTCACCCGGGTGCTGGCTAAGGAAGTGATCGCGAGCACTAGCGAGGCGGTCTGGCAGGCGCATGGCGATAAAATAGAGCGTCATGCAGAAAGGGGGGGGAGCGCAGTGAGCTGGGCAGCAGTGCTGGCAGTGCGATAGCGGGCTCTAGGGCACAGGTGAGTGGCAAAGTCTGCGACGGTAGGGAAGGCTGCAAGGTCTGGGAAAAGCATAGGGAAGAGCAGGCGGCCAGCAGAAGCAGACGCGGGTGTGGAATAGCGAGCAATAACGGCGTCTAAGTAAGCTTTGGCCGTCTCAATATTAGCAAAGCGCGAGCGCTCAGACACAGGGAGGGCGTGGCTAATAGCAACCTGAGCGACTGCATCGCGGGAGTCCCAGACCGCACGGGCAAGCGCAGCAGTAGAGAAGGTCTCACGGTCATCAAGTGAGGGGTCAGCAGGGAGGGGAGCAGGTGCGGGGGGGCGGGGGAGCAAGCCATCGACATGGACAACCAAAGAGTGGCCATCCTGGCGGCGAAGTCAACCGCATGGCCCTCGGCGTCCAGTCGGAGCACGAAGTCAGCCATCGTGCAGGGTCAGTGGCACAGCTCCACAGGAACACAGCGACGCAGGGACACGGCGACAGCACTCTCCAGCACGGCGGCCGCGAGGCGCCCCAGCACCGGTGAGCAGAGTAGACGGAACCCGAGGCGGCACGACAGGACGAGCAGGCACGAAGATGGGCCGGGCGGGCAGAGGGAGAGGCCAGGCAGACGCGGCGGGGCCGGGCAGACGCGGCGGCCATGAGCCGCGGCGGGGCCAGGCAGGCGCGAGGGGCCAGGCAGGTGCGGCGGGGGCCAGGCAGGCGCGCGGGGCCAGGCAGGCGCGGCGGGATCAGGCAGGCGCGGCAGGGCCAGGCAGGCGCGGCGGGGCCAGGCAGGCGCGGCGGGGCCAGGCGGGGCGCGGCGGGGCCAGGCAGGCGCGGAGGGGCCAGGCAGGCGCGGCGGGCCAGACAGGCGCGGCGGGGCCAGGCAGGTGCGGCGGGGCCAGGCAGGCGCAGCGGGGGGGCAGGCAGGCGCGGTGGGGCCCAGGCAGGCGCGGCAGGGCCAGGCAGGCGCGCGAGGGGCCAGGCAGCGCGACGGGGCAGGCAGGGCGCGACGTGGCCAGGCGGGCGCAACAGGGCCAGGCAGGGCGCGACGGGGCCGAGCGGGCGCGACGGGGCCAGGCAGGCGCAACGGGGCCCAGGAGGGCGCGACAGGGCTAGGAGGCGCGACGGGTCCCAGGAGGGGCGCTAGGGGGCGCGACGGGGCCCAGGAGGGGCGCTACGGGGCTAGGAGGCGCGACGGAGCTAGGAGGCACAACGGGGCCCAGGAGGGGCGCGACGGGGCGAGGAGGCGTGACGGGGCCCAGGAGGGGCGCGACGGGGCTCAGAAGTGGCGCGACGGGGCTAGGGGGGGCGCGACGGGGCCCAGGAGGGGCGGGATTGGGCTAGGGGGCGCGACGGGGCCCAGGAGGGGCGCGACGGGGCTAGGGGGGCGTGACGAGGTCAGGAGGGGCGCGACTGGGCTAGGGGGCGCGACGGGGCCCAGGAGGGGCGCGACGAGGCTAGGGGGCGCGACGGGGCCCAGGAGGGGCGCGACGGGGCTAGGAGGCCGTGACGGGGCCCTAGGGGGGGGGGGGGGGGGCGTGGCGGGGCCTAGCTAGGGTACGGGCGGAAGCGGTAGGTGGGGGATTTTAACCTACGCGTGATACCATGTTGAAGTGAGAACTGAATGAATAGACTAGAAGTGGAAACCTTGAACAAATACTAGTTGGTTGTACTCACTAGAAGCATACCTCATTCTAGCCTATAACTTCCTATATAGCTAATATGTATATGTTGACATGAACACACGCATGGCTACAGTGCTGGAGGACAACCGTGAGTGTTGATGCATGCACAATAAGGGCGCGTCCTAGAAGTACGTCCGAATGAGATTGAGTGAGGTGAATGACGTTTCAGAAGGATCAAATAACTTCACAAAACAACGGTAGGGAAATGGCAAAAAAACGAACACTTAGGACATGCCATTAGGGCACCATATTTAGCAGACCTTCGCACATGTTTAGTTTCCTCCCACTTTGTCGTGTCCTTCGCATGCCTTGGGCCAGTGCGGCTTTCTTATTACAACCATGTGATAAGTGCTGCAAGACTTGAGCTAGTTCAGCTGCACACAACAAAACCAGGGATGAAGCTAACTCTTCATGCACAAAGCTATCCACTCAAGCAAGAATGGTGAGGGTGCCATCCTCCGTCGACAGCACAAGCTCACACTCCTGCCCGCCATGCGTGTGCCCTGCCTCGCCTGCATCACCCCCATCCCCATGCTCTTGACTGCTCCTTCCCACCCTCAGCATCCCACCGTGCCCCCCTATCTGCCTGCCCCCAATGCCCCCCAGCAGCCTCCCTGGCAGTCACCCACGAATTTCACATCACTGGAGGAGCCCGAGCCACGGTCACCCTGAGGCTCATGCTGCCTGCTGCTTCACCTGCACCGTCTCCCTCCTCTCCCTGCGACCTGTGCTGCCGCCCCTCTGCCGGCAGCTCGTGGAGTGACTCCCCGGCAAAGGCTTCCAGGCCTGTGATCCATGGCCACCAGCAGGTGAACAAGAGACAAGGCAAACAGTCAGACAAAGGCCCGGGTGGTTGGAGCGCAGTCGAAGCACAGATTTCACACTGGCAGTGCAGGTTGAAATGAGTCATCAGAGCAGGCTGTCATGGAGGGCAGTGCCTGCCCAGTGCCCGCCACTCACCTCGCTGCATGTAGCCCGTCGTCGCCGTCAATGCTGACCAGCACGTCCGCCAGCTTCAGCCCCGGTGGCAGCTTGCCACCTGTCGCATCGCCATCACCGTCCGCAACGGTGTCAAGCCCAAAGAGGGTGCGCGCCGCTCTGTTGGCGCACGTGAGCTTGCCGTCCGCTGCCACCGCCACCATTGCATGCTGCGTCGCCTGGGGGGGGGGAGAAGGTGGGGGAGAGGGAGCAAGGAGCGGGAGAGGGCAGGGGAATGGGGGAATCGGGGATGAGGAAGAGGGTGATGACGCGGGCATGACAACTGCAGGGCAACCTCCCTGCCCTCTGCACCTAGTCTTCCCCTAAACCCCGATCCACCATCCTCCCTCCGCCTTCCACGCACCCACTCCGCCCACACGCGCGCATGTCATCCCGCGCGGCGCTCACCTCGAGCATGTCGTTGAGTCGCTCCTCCGCCTCCCACTTCTGCCGCCGCCGTTGCACGCCCACCACCACCTGCGCCACCGTTTTAGTCACGGGCTGGATGCTCATCAGCAGGCTCTCGTTGTAGCCGCCCTCGCGGTTCGACACGGCGTACATGCCCACCAGGTCGGGCCCGGAGAAACAGGGGAACGCCCAGGAAGCTCCGCATCACCGGGTGGCCGGGCGGCACGCCTTGTCTGGACGCGCGCGGGTCGGAGGGCACGTCGTTGCTGATGACGACGTCGGCGGACGTCCACGACGCGGCCGAAGATGGTCTCGAGGTTGCCGAACACCAGCCCTTGGGCGCGTTCTCCGCGTACCACGCGCGCAGCTCGCGGTTCACGCCAGGTTCGTGATGGAGTGCGTCCTTCAGGTACATCGACCCATCGGCGCGCCTTCAGCGCGCTGGCGATGAAGCCGGACTCGGAGTGCGTGAGGTCGAGCAGCCTGCGAGAGCAGGTAGTCGGCGACCTGGCTGGCGTTGGGCGTCATGTCGCGCGCGAAGATCTCGTGCGTCTTGGTGATCACCGTCAGCAGCTTGCGGTTCATCGCGTCCACCGCCACGCCGCTCGCGCTCATCCCCATGCCCGTGCTGCGGCTCCCGCCCGCTCCCGCGCCCGCTCCGCTTACCGCCCCGCGCGCGCCGGAAGCGCTTGCGGAGCCGCCGTCGCGGATCGCGCGGGAGAGACGCGTCCGCGCAGTGACGTGTCGTCGTGCCGTTGAACGGCAGATTTCGCGCAGTCGACAGTGCGGCATCCTTTGTCTCGGTAGCTGCTGTAGCGCGCCGAGTGGCCAAGAAACGGGCACGCGGGGAGCTCCTCCGATCCGTCCGTTGCGACTCGGCTGAAAGCTATCATGCTGCCGGCCGGCAAGCCGCGGGTAGAGACGGCTGGCTGGTTATGCTGCTGCTGGTGCGGCAGCGGGTGCTGCATGAGACGAGAGAAAGGGCGTTCGCGGGCAGCCGGACGGGCTCGGAGGGATGGACGTCGGAGGCGGTGCCTGCGCGGCTGTAGCGCCCTTGGGATTGCCGCTATTAAAACTGCTGTAGCTGCTGTAGCGCGTCGCGGCGCTGACAGTGTAATCATCATCGGAAGTCCCCGAGCCGGACGAATGGCGGCTCGCTAGCGTGGCGGCATCATCGACGAATGTGGTGTCATCGGACGATCCCGGATGACGTGGTGTAAAACAGCAGGCGGCCGGACGGGAAGCAGGTACGGTCCGCCCTTCGTCGCGCCTGCCGCGGGAGCCACAGGGCTTGAGAATGGCCCCGAGCCTTTTGCGGAGCCTGGATTGGAGGCCGGGCCCAGGCCTGGCGTTGTGGGGCAGATGTAGATTTGAGGCTTTGGACGAGATGGATGGCGCCGTGCGTTGCGGCGGCCATGGCTACCGGCTGTTTCGGGCATTTCAGGCATCTCATGCCGCCGGCTTCCACGGCGCGCACCACGAGCAGCCACTCCTCTCTGCTCCACCGCGCCGCTACCTCAAGCGGCGCCGCCACCAGATCTGATTCGGCCGTTATTGGAGCGATCGCGCTTGACCGAGCTGCTGCCGACGAGCCCGGTGTGTGCGGCGGCTGCACGGCGGCTGTCGTGCGCGGAGTGATGGGAGCGGAGGGGAGCGACGCGGGCTGCGGGATTGCCAACGGCGGAGGGTTTGCGGAAGACGGCTTCCTCAAAGCGACGTGTTCCGGCGGGGCAGCGGAGAAGGCGGAAGCAGTTTGACCGTTGGCGCTCGCGCTTGTGGAAGCGGCTTCGGAGCTTACGTTGAGCGCGGAGGCCACTGCGGCGGACGCTGCGGGCAGAAGGGCGGTTCGGGGCGCAGCGCTGGCGAGCGTCACGGGCGCGGGGTCGAGTAGGCGCACCGTGCTGCGCGGCTTTGCTTTGCGCGTCTCGAGCTTGGCGCGCATTGCGACGGCGGCGACATGGTCCTGCACGAGCGGGCTGCTGGAGACCCCCACGAGCTGCCGCTGGCTCCTACCGCCGAACTGACTCACGCGAATCGACGGCTGAAAGTCGATCGACGGCGGCATGGGGGCCTTCTCGTCCTTGGCCTGCACGGGGTTCGTGTTGAAATGGCGAACCACGGACGACCGAAGCTGGGCGCCATGCTGGAGTGCGCGATTAGCCGAGTTGGGCCAAGTGATGAAATGGAGAAGGTGAAGGAGCGAATGGGTGGGTTGGAAGGATTTGGTAGCAATGGCTTGAGCGGGCTTGGATTGAGGTGAGGGTGTCAAGTGATGCGGTGCGAAAGGCGCACAAGGCAGATTGGATTCGTCAGGAAGGGGGTGGGTGGATTGTGGTGGAGGGGAGAGCGGGACAGCAGAGCAGAGCACCCAGTTCACTCACCCACACTTACAGCTGGATGGCTGACTGGTGCGAGAAGTGAACGGGATGGGATGGCGTGGGTGGGAGACATGATGAGACGAATGGGGGGAGTGGCAGGAATGGCAGCGGCAGCCCTTGAAAATGCCGAAAATGAATCTGCGCGCTGCGCTTCGCCTATGGCCCCAAGCCCCCAAAAATTTCTTCCCTCAACGATCGCACCTCGAATACTGTAGGAGGTTATTGTTGGTGTGGGCTTTGGCCGTCTCTCAACTGGCGGGGCTTTTGGGTGTTGTCCGTGTCCCCGATCATGCCTTTTTTTCCCACCCAGGAGCAAGGGTGGTTTGCGTGTACGGGTAACGGGACCCTATCCAAACGGCCAGCTGGCAGAGCTTCCTGTCTGGTAGTACACGACAAATACATAAATTGCTTCATTATCCACGCTTGTTTGGAAGATTTTCCCTCGTGCTCTGATTGGGTGAAACCATTCGTGTGAGCTGTGGAGGACCCTCAATAAAAATATCCAAGGTGCAGATTTGCGTGGCTCCAGAGAATGCACACATGGACTAAACAAGAGCCATGAATCACTGCCCGAAATGATGAGGTAAGTTTCCAGACGAATCTTCCCGTTCTGAGCAGCCGCGCTAAGTCATCATATGTCTTCTCCAGGTGTATGCGCTCGAACCATTTCCCACACCTGGACAAAAGAGGAGTTATTAGTAAAACGTACGCAAACTCATGGTTTTTGCTCTCACAAGAAAATGCTAAAATCACAACCAAATAAAGAGCTCACCTTTCTAACACCGCTTGAAAGGCCAACTTCCGTCATCTCCATTTCCCACGCCAACACCAATGCTGGTGGATTGGTAGTGAACAACTCTCATTTCCATCATCCTGATGACTTGTAACCTGCTTGCCTCTTGTTCTTGCCTTAGCCACTGCATCTCCCAGGCTGCACTCCCAAGTAATCGGTTCTTGCCTGCAGCAGTTGCTTGCCTCAGCCCCCTCTGCGATCAAAATCCGCTCGATCAACATATGCTGGTGTATGTGGGAGAAGACATGCAAGGCCTGGCCCACATCACGCTGCTCTATCACACGCCACTTGCTCCCCTCCCCCTCCTCCTTTCCCTCCTGCAGCATCCTTCCATCCAGGCTGAGCTGGCCAGACCCCTCTACAGTCACATTGGGCAGCATCTGGTTGAGCAGGCGCAGCACGGCCTGTCGTCGTTGCGGCTCTGCAGGCCTGCCTGGGCCGGTCGACAGCACGAGAGCGGGGAACTCCCACAGCCCGGCCAGCAGCCCCTGCGGTGGCCGCTGCACCAGAAGGAACTGAGAAGGCTCCTCCATGCTAGGTTGATTGCTGCTTCGGCTGCTGACTGAACGCCTGCCGTTCTCGGCAGACACACCAGCTGATGCCACCGATGCGTGCGATGGTGCCGTTGCAGACGCCACTCCCTCCTCTCCACCACACACACTGCCACCCACTCCTCCCTCGGTGCTGCCTTGGCCTTGCGTACAGGGAAGTCCGTCACCCTCACTCCTCTCCCGTCCACCCCCCCATCCTCCCCATCCCCCCTGTCTGCTCCCTGCTGCTGCAGGGCGAGGGCGCGGCAGTGGGGGGAGAGGGGGCAGGAGGAGCAGGAGGGGGAGGAGGGCGAGCACACGAGGGAGCCAAGGTCCATCAGCGCCTGAGGGGGAGGGTTGCGAGAGAGGGGGAGAAGTGTCTCTTCACATGCCGCAAGGCTCTCACGGTCAATATGGAGAGGTGCAGAGGGGTGAAAGAGACGCTGTCTGATGGGGGAAGCAATCGAGGGTGAAGCAGCGCCCCGCGCAAGCCAGTGCTCCCACCTGGTTGAAGTCCCCTGGGCGCGAGGGGTGCAGCAGGCGGGAGGCGAGGAGGGCGAAGAGCGAGGAGGAGGCGGCCTGATGCAGCGGCAGGGGCAGGGCTCTGAGGCGCGCCAGGATGCGCATCACGTTGCCGTCCACCGCTGCTGCCGCCTGTGGGGGGCGTGCGGGTAGGTGCCAGGGGCGGACGAGGGATGGTAACAGTGAGCAGTGGTGCGGAGAGGGGCTGAATGCATGGGAGCAGTCGAGGGGGAATAAGATGCTCCTGCAATCCTGTGAATTCCCAATCCCCGCCATTCACTCACCCCTCACCCCTCGCCCCTCACCCCTGGCCCCTGGCCTTGTGCGCCCCGCTGACCTGGTTGAAGGCGATGGAGGCGATGGCAGCAGCGGTGTAGGGTCCGATGCCCGGCACACCCAGCAGCTCCTCGGCGGTGCGCGGCATGCGCCCCCCGTGGCGCTGCTGGATGTGCTGCGCGCCCTGGCAGGGGAGCATGCGGGAGAGAGGGGGAAAGCGAGGAGGAGAGAGGGGGGTGGATGAGAGGTCCGATGAAGGATACGCCATAGAGGAAAGCAGGGGCAAGGACGGATGACCTGCGGCTGTGGACCAGAAATAGTGAAATGTAGCAAGCGAGGCCAAGAGCGACAAGGCTAGAGTGCGGGTGCAGGGTTGTGAGGAGCGCATCAATGGAATGGAGGAGGGGAGGGCGGAGGACGGGAGGGCGGAGGACGGGAGGGCGGAGGACGGGAGGCTGGCGGGCGGGAGGGCGGAGGACGGGAGGGCGGAGGAGGGGAGGGCGGAGGACGGGAGGGCGGAGGAGGGGAGGGCGGAGGAGGGGAGGCGGAGGAGGGGAGGGCGGAGGAGGGTGAGTGCACCTGCAGCAGGTACTTGGCCCGGCGGTAGTATCCAGGCCAGCCCACACGGCGTTGACCTCCTGGCGCCATGGGGGCGAGAGGGGAACGGCGCACAGGGAGGGCGAGGAGGGCGGGGAAGAGAGGCAAGGCGGCATGGGGAGACAAGGGCGGGAATGAGAGGGAGATAGGGGCGCGGAAAACGCTGTCCGGTTCGCAAAATCATTTCCCAAACCTCGCTAGCCAACATACTTGACCACGCTAGGGCTCACTGCACCGTATTAAACCAATCCAGAACCCTTCAAGTTGATCCTCTGGAGGGTGGATTCCGGCCAGCCGTACAGCATGTTCCACGCAACGCGGCGAGGCGAGGCTGACCTCCAGGGAAGCGGCAGCGAGGCGGGGCAGCGAGGGCCAGCGGGCCATCCAGCGGTGGAAGTAGGGCGCCACGGTGCTCACGCGCGTCTGCTGCAGCATCACCTCGCTCACCCACACGCCGTACGCCCGCCGCTCCCCCTCCGCTGCCTCCTGCCCCTCCTCCCCTTCCGCTCCTTCCTCCGCCTCCCCCCTGCCGCCTCCCACTGCCTCGTCCCCCTCGCCTCCAACCTCACTCCCTGCCGGCGCGCGCCACGGCAGGTCGCGGCGGTTGGCGTCGTACCACTCCAGCAGCGCGGACCGCGCGGCGACCACCTCCTCGTCGCTGAACCCGTACTTCATCTCCAACGCCTCCTTCCATGGCTGCCTCCCCGTCCCCTTGCCTGCATCGGCCTTTAATCTCTTCGCCTTGGTCCTCCTCGAGGCGCCACCTGCTGCCAGTCCCCTTCGTCGCGCCGCTCCTTTCTCTCTAACGCCCTCGTCGCTCTCGTCGGACCTCCCCTCCTCGCTACTGACCTGCTCCGCCTCCTCTCCCTCCAGCCCCCTCCCTCCTTGCCATCCATGTCTCCCTCCACGCCACGTGACACCTTCCCTCCTAAGTCCTCGATGTCGCTAATAGGAGCCAGCGGCCGGGCGGAGCCCCTGCGCCTGCTGCTGGGCGCGCTGCGAGCGGAGCAAGTTGACGATGGTATCGACAAGCGTGATTCACGGGGAGCGGAAGGCGGAGTGCGAAGATTGGCTTCGGGTGAAGCGCGACGAGCGAGTGGGATGGCTAATTGTGCTGCAGCGAGCGGCTTCTGCGGCGGAACACATGGCGGCTGCGGGGATCGCGGAGGTGAGGAGCGGCGACGAGACGATCGCGTCTGAACTGGCATGGAGACGAATGGAGTCAAACAATGCGAGGGCAAGGCGACGACACGTGGCGATAAGATCAGTGGCGATGAGAGCAGTCGTCGCATAGCCGAGCAGCCGTGAGGACAGCAAGGAGAAATACTTGCCTGCACAGCATTAGAAAAATACTTGGCGACGAGACTGATTTACTGCCAATGACGCCGCCCTCGTCGTTTCAACAATGTCCAGAAATACAGAATCGGCCTGTAATGTAACATTTTGGAAGCATTTGAGATTCGTCAGGGATCGCTGTAACATTTTGAGGCTTCCTCATTTTCGCTGGGGGACATTCGTCGCATGCCGTCGCGAACTCGACACCCTTCTTTCGCCAGGGCCGCTTTTACCAAAAAGGACGAAGCACCAATGACAGAGAGAGGTGCCTGCACGCCACGTCAGATGCCACCGACGCAAATTCGACCACGCTGTCGCCTTCGAATCGCCCACGTCACTTCCGCCTCGCACCAACCAGTCCCCATGCATTCCGCCTCGCACATGTGGCCCCGCGCACCGCCATCCGCGTTCCGCATGCGCTGACAACCTTGGCTGTCGATCACCAATCCGATGCCTTGCCCCTCCCCCGTCCCCTGGCAAAAAGAGGCACAGAAACGCCAATCAGCATTGAGGCTCCACCGCCCCCCACCCTCGACAGCGGGCAGAAGCTCCCTCCCCGCGCCCCCGGGCGCGAGGGTGGGAAGCTGGTGGCCCAACATTTAGGGCGTGGAGCCTACGGTTGCGGTTCCGTTTTGGGTTGCGCAACCGGACTGGTAACAACGCTCGCAAAGTCGCGAAAGCGTTTTTGCGAAAGCTGGACGTGGGTTGCGCAACCCACGTCCAGCCCGGTTCCGAAACCCACTTCCGCAACCCAATCCGAAACCCACGTCCACGAGAATCAAACGGACTACCACTTGGTCGAGAAATCCAACCCTATGTCCGAGAAACTGTTCGCCTAACGTGCCACGAACCCAACATTTCGCCAAACGGGCCCATCGCCAAGGCGGGACATGTCCCGCAGTTTTTTGTCTTTTGCGAATTGGAGGAAACGTACCCCTGTTTCCGATTTCGCACAATGGTTAAAATTTCGAAATTTGAAACTTCTGCAACCCAATGTTCATGGTGCGTTGGGGCTTGTGCTGAGTTGCGCAAGCCCATGTTCCAGTTGCGTTACGGGGTCAGGATTCGTGGATTGACCAACTGGAAGCGCAACCCACAGATGCGCAACCCTAGGATACACGCCTTTATAGCGAGGCGGATAACGCAAATGGCGGTCGCTCGCAGCAGTCCACGGGGGACATGTCTGAAGAGCTTTATTACCGGAGTCAGGAAGAGCCATTGAGCCTTCTGCTAGGTTGAGCAACGCGTTGTCGCTACGTTCGACCTAACGGGCTCTCGCAGAATGCCGTCGACTGCGGCCTCTGATACCCTATCAAAAACCATTTATTTGCGCCAGGCGTATCCTTGACGCGATTGACGAGAAAGCCAGCTCTTTTCTTGGCTTACGCGCCAGCGTCTAAGAGAAACAGCAACTTTAGCGAAATTAGGACCCTTCGTAGTTGAAGCCATGGCTGTCACCAGCGCTGTTTCTCGGCCGGCGCTTGCATCTGCGCTGAGCTCCGCTCGTAGCGCTGAGTCGAAACGAGCACGTGTACATCATAGTCTAGTAACAGACAATCCTGTAACGGGTGGTCCTGTAACGCAAAGGCACGCGTTTTCAACCAGGCCACGACGTAGCCGTGCTTGTTTAGGCCCGGAATCAAGCTCCCGATCCACTTATCTGTCGCAATGTCGCACCAAGTCACGGCCATGGCGCCTTGCCTTCCAAGCCGCCGCGGAAGGAAATGGAGCCGCGTCGGTAGCCGCGGCGGTGGTGGCGGAGGACGCGGAGTGCGAGGGAGACGCGGACGACGGGTACTGCAGCGCGCAGGAGTTCAGCGGCGACGGGCGCGAGCCCGCGGTGGATGATCCGCGCGATGCCTCGCGCGCAGAGGAGCCGCGGAAAGAGCACAAGGCGTCCTCGCCGGTGATCACGTGGCAGCTCGTGGTTGGGCTGGTGCTGCGGCACAAGCTGCGGCTGCTGGGGCTGGCGGTGGGGCTGGTGGCGGGCACGGCGTGCAACGTGGTGCTGCCGCGCATCAACGGTAACTTCGTGCAGGCGCTCGTCGCGCCCGTGCCCGTGCCGCTGCCGCGCCTGCTGCTGCCGATCGCGGCGATCTACGTGGTGGAGCCCGCCGCGACGCTGCTGTTCGTGTCGAGCCTGTCCGCCGTGTGGGAGGCCGTCATGGCCGCCGTGCGCGTCCGCGTTTTCCGCCGCCTGCTGCTGCAGAAGGTGAGCGGCTCAGCCCGGGCGACCAGGCGAATGAAGTTTAACGAGCCCAAGGCACTCGAGCAGAGGAACCCGCCGCCATGCCAACCTCTCCCTTCCCCATCAACCCTTCCCTCTGGCACCCCTCCCCCCCTCTCCCCCTCTCCCCCTCTCCCCCACTCCCCCTCTCCCCTCTCCCCCTCTCCCCCCTGCCGTGCGCGCGGGCCAGGTGGCGTTCTTCGACGCGCACAAGGCGGCGGAGCTGAGCGGCGTGGTGGCGGTGGAGCTGGGGTTCCTCGACAAGGCCGTCACCGACAACGTCACGCCGCGACCGCGGGCTGCGCTCCATCTGCGAGGTGAGGTGCTGCCAGGGGCTGCACGGCGTGTGCCCGTGTGGGAGGGGCTGCGAGGGGGTCCATCTGTGGGGGACCGCTTGCCGTCCGTCCGTGTGGGGGGTACCGTGAGGAGAAAGGGAGGGGGAGGGGGGAGAGGTGGGTGTGTGGTGTGGCGGTGCACGGTGGTGCAGTCACCAATCCTGTCTCTTCCTTCATCCCCCCAGTGCCCATCCTCCCGCCATACCCTATTCGCCCCTGGCCTCACACGCCCATCCTCCACTCCCCATCCCGCGTGTGTGGGTGGGTGGGCGGCAGGTGGTATCGACGCTGCTGGTTCTCTTCTTCATCGCGCCCGACCTCGCCCCTGTATTCTCGCTGCTCGCCGTCGGCATCTCCCTCATCGCTGGTCAGACCCCCTCACATGCCATGCCCACACGCACCACCATGCGTCGCCATGCAGGTGTGATGTGTGTGCCCAGCATGCATGCGCGCTGTGCACGGTCATCAAGCAGCACCTCAAATTGCATCTCCACTTGGGTTTCGCACTCCTCCAGTCGCCATCATTCCACCCCCCCACTCCTTCTACTCCCCTGGCTGCCCGAGCAGGCATCTACAAGCGCGGCACGATGCCCGTGTTTGTGAGCAGCAGCAAGACCCAGGCGCGCATCACCGACGCCGCCTCCGAGACCTTCCAAGCCATCCGCACTGTACGCGCCTCCTCTCCCCCCCCTCCCCCTCCCCCTTTCCTCCCCCGCTCCCCCCCCGTTGCTGCTGAGCGCTGTGAGGCCGTGCCGCCCCACTCGTCGCTGTCTCTCGCTCTCTGCGCTTCCCACGTGTTCGCGAGTATACTGTACTTCAACCTATCGACCTTCACCCCCCCCCCCTTCGCCCCCCTCCCCTGCGTCCTCTCACTCCCCTCCAGGTGCGGTCCTTCGGAGGCGAGGCACGCCAGCTGGCGCGGTTCGCAGGCCACGTGGCGGAGGCCCGGGAGACGGGCACGCGACTGAGCGTGCTCAAGTCGACGAATGAGGCGCTGACACGTGGCTGCGTGTACATCTCCCTCATGTGTGTCTACATCCTGGGCGGCCACAAAGTGCAGACGGTGCGTGCCACCCATAAGGGGGAGGTGTGGGGGGGAGGGGGGATCATGGAGTGCACGCAGCTGGGGGACTTGGAGCGAGTTGAGGCGTGTCAGCTGATTGAGTTGGTCTCCTCCAGGGCTCACGCTTTAGGATTTCAGATTTTGGGGTTTTGAGTTGCTTGGTCCCATCGCATCACATCACGGCTCTCCGTGGCACGTCATCCTTCCTTCCCCAAACGCCCCTCTCACCACCCCGCACTTCCCATGTGTCATCGCACATACCCCATCATGCTGCCTTGACATGGCATGGCATGGCATGGCATTATGTGACATCCCCACAGGGCATACTGCCAGCTGGCACGGTGCTGGCATTTGTGGGCTACACATTCCTCCTCACCTTCGCTGTAAGCTTCCTCTCTATAGTCATCATCAGCCAGCTCGTATATTCACTTACTCACGTCAGTTTCTTAAGTCTTATTGCTACACTGGACGGCATTCCCTCCCAGTGCAATCACCCCATGCCATCACCCCATGCCATCACCCCATGCCATCACCCCATGCCATCACCCCATGCCATCACCCCATGCCATGCCATCACCCCATGCCATCACCACCCATGCCTATCATCCCATGCCATCACCCCATGCCATCACCCCATGCCATCACCCCATGCCATCACCCCATGCCATCACCCCATGCCATCACCCCATGCCATCACCCCATGCCATCACCCCCTGCCATCACCCCATGCCATCACCCCATGCCATCACCCCCTGCCATCACCCCCATGCCATCACCCCATGCCATCACCCCATGTCATCACCCCCTGCCATCACCCCATGCCATCACCCCATGCCATCACCCCCTGCCATCACCCCATGCCATCACCCCCTGCCATCACCCCGTGCCATCACCCCGTGCCATCACCCCATGCCATCACCCCATGCCATCACCCCATGCCATCACCCCCTGCCATCACCCCGTGCCATCACCCCGTGCCATCACCCCGTGCAGATCCAGGGGCTGGTGAACACCATGGCGGACATCCAGAACGCGCTCGCAGCCGTGGGGCGCATCAACGCCCTCCTCTCCTCCACCCCACCCGAGCCTAACCTCGCCATCCCTGAACCTCTCCCGGACCTCTCTGTGCTGCTCGCTCCCACCACGGATTGCCACGAGCCAGGGAGCTCAGGGGCAGTGAGGGGGGAGGCGGGAGAGGAGGAGGGCGCGGAGAAGGCAGTGAGGGCGAACGGGGCAGCGGCGGTGGCGGGAGGGGGTGGGTTGTCCGCGTGTGAGCTGGCGTGGACGGGCGACATCGAGCTCAAAGGTGAGGGAGCACTGCCTTGTGGCGCCCGAGTCCCTTCGCTCTAGTGCTGCTGGGACGACAGAAGCCCGTGGGTGCACGCCAGCACCCTGCATGCATG